AAAAGTGCTTGTTTCACTTATGAGTTGTTTAACTCATGACAAGATATTTTCCCATGTTGTCAGTTAATTTATCTGCCATTGGAACAAAATCTTTATCAATGTTAAGGAATTATTTACCTTAGAAAAGCCTCTATCTTGCGAATAGTTACTCATAAGTTAATTTGTTTTATTTCAAGTGAACTAAAATATTGGCTCCAGAAACTAAACTAAAATTACTTGGTAAGATTTTGTGTTTTTGCAGTGTTATATTTTATTTCACCTTGTCTCACAAAACATTATTTAAAACGGTAACAAACGATGCTATATTATTTTACTGAAATTCTCTATTTTTTTTTGATAATTTGTATCATTTTTAACTCCGAAGTGCTGGAAAATTTGAAAACTCGCCTTTAAAATGTGTGAAAAGTTCTTTAATTTTGCTGTAGGAAACGTATATAATAACATTTGACAATGATTGATTCCATGTTGCCCAAAATCCTGTTTGCATGTAAAAATCTAAGCTAACTCTCGTCTCTGTGTTGCAGATTTTCTATGATCTGGTGCGACAGATCAACAGGAAAACGCCGATGGAAAAAAGGAAGATAAAAAAGAAGTCGAGTTGCACGCTGCTCTAAAAACGCTCTCCCACGGTTGCTCCAGGCCAGGTGAGTGGGAGTCTGGACTAAATTTATTCCAGACGTTCGCATGGCTGCCGGGCTTTCTGCGCTCCGGGTTGTTACCGAACATTTAAAACAAACCTACCGGGAAGGAGCGAAGCTTTTTTTCCTGTGAGCGGAAATATCTTTATACTTTGAAAAACAGAACGTTTTAGGAACCAGAAAAACTTCTGTATAATGGATAAAATTAGCTGCGATTCTCTGATCCTTTAGAGCTTGATCTCGTTTTGAAGGGAACATTTTGATTATTTAACCTGCACTGTCAAACACATTGCAACTGTAACTATTTTTGTAGTATTTTTTTAATGTTGGATTATACAAACGTTTATTTTTCTCATATGAATTATTTAACAAAAGAGGCATTACATGCAAGTCTTAGCTACTGCAAGTTCAAACTCGTTAGTAGCAGTAAAATTTTAATTTTTTTTTTACAGGTTTTCCTGACCAAAACTAAATTAAACACCTCTTTCTCTATATAAACTTAAAAAGGTTTTAATTCCTGAATCCTTCAACGTTGTCATACAGGAAACTAAGTCACCTCAGGCGTAAAATAAAACAATGTTATGTTAATGCATTTTATGTAATTAAATTGTTTTTTGGCATCTCAATATTTTTCTAATATTATATTAAAAAGGCTCCAGTGTTTAAATCAAAAATCTGCAAAATGCTCCAATATTTAATCCAATTGTCAGGATAATCAATAACTAAAATAATCATTAGTTGTCATTAATTGTGACGTTCTGAGTGAAACTCATAATTTCAGACCACAGAGTTAAAATCACTTGAATCATTTCTTTAAACCAGTTTTTATCTGATGTAACTAACAAGTTAATCAAATATAGATGTCACATTTGGTTTAATGAACAGAAATTCTAATTTTCCAAAAACAAAATCCAATTTCATTTGATCATAAATTAATAATTTAATTGGAGCAAATTTCTCAAACGTGAAATGTTATTTCTGAATCCGTTTTAGCAAAGTAACTATAACTTTATCTGAATAAAAAGGTTTAAGTGATAGACAAGGTCTGGAGCTTTAGCTATAAAATACACCAAACAACTAGTTTTTCTTTTTGTTGTGAATAAATCTTTATTGAACTTTTTGGGAGCCAAAATTAATATAAAAGTGCTCGGGGGGCCACTAAGGGTATTTTAAAAGAAACTTTTTTTGTGATATTATGGTATTTTTTTCCCTACTCCGTAATAAACTAAAGTCGAATTTTAAATCAAAGGTTTTGCACAATTGAGTTGTAAGACGGGCACAAATTTCTGTTTTTATTTAATTTCTTTTTGTTTGTTTTTGGGAGGTTGATTTATTTATTTATTTATTTTACTTATTTCATGTGAATGTGGCAATAAGCAATAAATCAATTCATTGCATGATAAATTAAAACAAATTCAAAAATTTCCGTTTGCATGATTTGTTATTTTTCTCTACCAAAAATTGGCTTTGGTCTCAACCAGCGCTTTTTTGAAGGACAATTTTGTTCACAGAGACTTTATAATTTATTTTATTTGCCTTTTTGTTTTTAATTTGGATATTTAAAGCGTCTTCCAGCTCTTGTGTTAAATGTTTGTTAGAATTTAAAGTTTATTAATCTTTGAGAATATGTTCTATTATGCCATTAGCTTTACACTCCTGAATGCTTTGCTTTGAGTAAAAGTAGGTCGATGTTTATGGTTCTAATTACTCTGAAACTATGACGAATGTAGAAACTTTAATGAGTGGTGATGTATTTTTTTGTACCTCATATTTAGGTGGTTTTCTTCTGTATCAATCACCTGTTTGCTTTGAGGTCTGGGGGCCGCATTGAATCCATCAGAGGGCCTTCAATGGCCCCCTTCCCACACTTTGAACACCCATGATCTAAATTAAAAAAAAATAAATTACATTTTGACAAGAATTGATTATCTGATCTTAAGAAATGATTACTGAACACAGATTATTTAAAAACTGTTCATTTAAGCAGCCGCTGAGTTAATCGGACTGACAGAATGAATGACAGTGTTCAAAGTGAATGTTTCATATTTTATTTTATCGCTGCGTTTCTGTTCTCACCTGCAGAATGATGAACTGTTTCCCGGTGGATGGTGCCAGCATTCCAAGTCCTCTCCAGAGCATTTTTGAAAAAGGCTGACTGAGAAAACCACACCACTTGCAAAACAGCGGAAGGCACATACTTTAAAGAAAAAAAATGTTTTGCTTTTTACTGGCAGAGAAAATCAACCTCTTCTTGTATTGTCAAGCCTGACGACAAAATATATTTTTCTTCTTTTTTTTTTATTTTTCTCCGAGGTGTCTTTTCTTCTGGAAATAAAGTAAAAGAGGAAACTGTGGATTTGAATCCATTTAAGGGAACTAATGAGAATTTTATTATGAGTAACAACAGTCTTTGGCATATTGTGACGATATATTTGTAAAGGAATCCATGTAAAAATGTTGATCTTCTTGTACAATTCTGCACTAACATTGTCAATGAAGATGCATCATTGTCCATAAGTTACTCGCTCCTACTTACAAGGATGTGTATTAATAACATCTCTCCTAAGTGACTTTGTTTTATATTGAAAGCTGCAAGCCTTCCATATTTCCCATAATATATTCTTCCATTTTTGCATAATAAAGTTAAGGAAATTAGTATTTTATAGACAGATGGGGGTAAGGGTGCGCTCTGATTTGTGTCGAGGTTGAAAACGTATTGTACTAAACCACCTCTAATACTGCTTCTTCTTACCCTGTCACAGATGATTTTCCAGCTTTTATGAATGATTAAATTTTAGTACATTTTCATTACTCTTGTATTTGTTGTTGTCCTTCCTGTTTAAGGAGACGTTTGTCAGACTGCATGTGTAAGAGGAGCGTTTCCTGCTGGCAGAAATGACTCTGGTTCAGCAGATTAAGATTGAGCTGAGAGAGGAAGCGGCAGCAATGAGGAACCCAGACTTCTGGCCTCAACAGCAGGCAGGATGTGAAGTAAAAAGCAGAATCGAAAACTGACTGCGGGATGAACTTGAAGGCTCCAGAGCAAAAGTGATCAGATGTTTAAAGCATGCCACCATATTTATGAGTCAAATTAATTTGGGACTTTTTAAAATGTTGCTTTAAGTGTTAGGAATAGAAAAAAAAAAGTCAAAATACAGTCCTGTAAGCTTACAGACAAAAAGAACCTATCAAACCTTGAAAATATGACGTCCAAGAGAAACAAAAACATAATTTTACCACCTGGAAAACCTTAGAGCAAATCACAGCACAGGGAATTCTGGGTAAATGATATCAGGAGAAATGGCTTGCTTTCTTTTGCCAAAGAAGACAAAGGCAAAATCCTACATCTAAAATTTTATGCCACTCTTTTTTTTATTTTATTTTATTTTTTACATTTTTGTTAAAAGGAAAGTTGCACTCAGTGTCACCTTGTGCATTCACATCAGCTGTTAATCTAACTCTAGTTCACGTCTCTACAAAGTCTGGTTCGTTTGAGGGAATGTGAATGAATAATGAAACTATGATGTGGACCAAAAAAGCAAACTCGCCTAAAAACCCAGGTCTCGGTATGGTTGACGTAAAATCTGGTGCGTTTTGTATGCAGATGTGAAAGCAAAACGGACCAGAGACCGCTCCAAAAGCAGGAAGTGGACTACAACGCAAGGGATTCTGGGTAAATACAACCAAAGTAAACGTGAGACTCTACTACTACAGGGAGAAATGGGTTGTGGTCTTTACCAAAGACAAAAGAGAAATCATTCAACCGCTAAAATTTGACGCTACTCCATTTTTGTTTACATTTTGTGAAGAAGGAAGTTCTGCTGGTCTAAGGTTTTCATGTCCTTTCCTTCAATAGTTGTTGGTGCAGCGCCACCGCAGGCGTGGAGGGGAACAGGCGATCCAATTAGTTTGGATCGTTTGATACAGTGCAGTGTGAAAGTGAACATTCCAGCTGAAATTGTTGCAATTTCGGTTCCAAGTCAAAGTGAGCCTACCCGGACTATCAGATGTGAAAACATCCTAAAATAGAAACAAAGACAGAAATTATCAATAGTAAAAAATAAATAAATAAACTAAAAGTCCAAGAACCATATCATGGTAACAATTTAGTATCTAAAATTTAATATCCTCCAAGAATCGTTTTTATAGTATTCAGATTTTGCTGAATGGATTCAGACCTCATGTTGATCAACAGAACCTTCACTGGTGCAGTGAAACCCAGTCTGATATCGTTACACCAGACCAGCAGCTTTTTGTGCCTTTAAATTGAATTTATCTGCATTAAACCCGGTGATTGATCAGCGGCGGCTCCCGCCCTCCTTACCCGCTCCTCCTCCCCTCACACGCGGCCCCACTGGCTGCTCGCCCCCTCCCCCTCGCTTCCATCATTTTCCCATCTCTTCCCCTCAACAAACATGGCCGCGAAATCTGATGGTGCTCCTGCCTCTCCGCGAAACGAAATCCCACCCGAGTGTCCCGCCCGGTCCGAACCGACACCGCCGGAGCGCCGCGTGAGCGAGCATCGGTACAGCCTGCAGGACTTCTGCTGGACCCTCTGCGTCCTGCTGGTGTTTTTCTCGGACGGGGCCTCAGACCTGTGGCTGGCTGCCGACTACTACCTGCGGAGGGAGTACTGGTGCTTCGCCTTGACTCTGGTCTTTGTGATCGTCCCGTCCGTGGTCGTGCAGGTGTTGAGCTTTCGGTGGTTCGCCTATGATTTCACGGAGTCCGTGGAGAGCGGCACGGCGGCGGCCGTGGTGGCGGCAGCGGCGGGCGCGGAGGGAGGCGACTTCAGCACCAAGGACAGCGGAGAGTGGGGCGCTGGCCGGGCCGCCGCGGTGCTGCCGGGGCCGACCGGCGGGGGCCGAGTCCGGGGCTGCTGCAGAGCCTTCATGTGGGTCTTTCAAGCCCTCATTCACATTTTGCAGCTGGCGCAGGTCTGGAGGTGAGTCGGAGATCCGAGAGGTTCAGATCGGTACACCTTGTCTTTGGTTTTTGTGTTTCAGTCCAACATATCTTCCCACCTAATCATTGTGGTGCCAATGTGGTTTTGTGTTTTTGACATTTCTCCCTAGGGAAATGTCAAAAAGGGGACATATATAGGGGACAAAGGGGACAAGGGGATTAAATCCACCGTCTCCCCCGCGGCCGCCGGCCGTGGGTCAACCATTCCTTGGAAAATTAGATACACATTCACATGGATTATTCCATTGATTATCCCGACGATTAATCGAGTAATCAGACAAAAAATTGTATATTCTGAACATTTTTCATTTAATTACAAAAAAACAAACAAACAAAAAATACACAATTCAATTTTGGTTTTTAAGTAATAATAATAATAAAAACCCTTTATAGCCTAAAATGCAACAACCTGGCATTCCTTAAGTGAACGCCTGATCATTTGTAGCAAAGGATTCATCTAAATACTTCTAACATCAACATTTGAATAGCTCTGGTCTTTCTGCTCATCTGCAAAGTCCAACATCTTTCCCCACTTTTTTATTTAAACCTTATCATTTTGGTGCCAAAAGAGGATGATTATGTTTTGTGTTGTTTGACATTTCTCCCTAGTTTACAAGGGGATTAAACTCCACCCACTCCCTTTTGCCTTGGCCACCTCTTGCAAAGTTATAAACACACAAGTATTCTGGTGATTATTCCAACAATTAATCAGACCAAATAATGGGCATATACTGCAGGATTTTTATTTAATTAGTCAAGTTTCTTTTTATATAATATTAAACACACATAAAAGATTCAAATAGACAAATCATTTGTTGTTGGTAAGCAATTTTATTGCCTAAAATGCAATAACATGGCATTCCTTTACTGTGTACTTGATATATCTGTTGCAAAGGATTCATCTGCAGGGAAATATTTCTAACATCAACATGTGAAAAGATCAACTCTTTCTGCATGACTAGCATCAGTGCAGATTAGAGCTAACCTGTTGATTATTTTTTTAATTATTCAATTAATAATTAAATAAGCACAAGGTGTTAAGTAGGAGATTTACTGACATAATCTGAACCAGGTGAAGCTAAAACTATGCCACTTGAGGAATTCTGTACAGAATGTATTTACAGAAATAACCATTTTTTCAGTCCAGTTTCACTTTATTTTGGTAAATTATCATCTTAAATAAAAAATGTTTAAATTTTCTGTTCAGTTTTGACTTAATTACTGCGCTGAGTGTGTTGTTCTTTCAGGAAATGCCGTTTTTTGAGTCTGTACACTAGCGTTAATGATTAACCAGTTACTAAATGAATCGATTAATCCTTTTCACTCAAATAATAAGATTATTTCTGCAACCTTTTTTGACTTATAAGTCGCATGTTAATATACTTTTCTCTATCACAATATTTAGATCTAAACCTATTTATGACACACACGTAGCCATAAACTCCCCAGATGGACAGTAGTAGGTCTGTGGGTCAGCAACTCAGTCAGTGATGGTGAGTCGGGCCTCAGACTTTAGAAGTCCTCTGATAGGTTTTGACAGGCTTGAACTACTGCCAGTTCAGAGAAACATTCAGTTGTATGACGGGTGTGAGGCAACATTCCCATTATGAGACAAATGTAAATACTTGGCATTTGGTCATGTTAGAGAGGGATAACTTGGACTCATATGGCTTGTTTTACCTGTAGAACAACACAATGTGTGTCTTTCTGTGCCCGCTCGCTTCCTTCCTCTTGAGACAGCAGTATTGATCCCATACATCCGCCCGGAGACTGAGACTGAGTGAGTGTGAGTGTGTCCAGGAGCACATTAAAACGTTGTGGCAGCACAGAATTACCGGTAATGCCATTAAAGCTGTTGTGTGTGTGTGTGTGTGTGTGTGTGTGTGTGTGTGTGTGTGTGTGCGTGCGTGTGTGTGTGCGTGTGCGCGTGCATGCGTGTGTGTGTGTCCTGTTCGTGGGTGCCGTACTTGCAGGAGTGTGTCTGAACGTTAAAGAGGATTAGCGCTGTGTGTTTTACCCCGAGCTGTTAACTCGCGAATGATCTGTCACTGATACACATTTAGTCAGGTGAACTGGGATCAATTGAGGCCTGCAACCTGAACTGAATATCAGCTCACATGAGATGTGATATGGGAGGGTTGTGTCATGGATAGAGTGCAATGAAACCATCTGTGAGTCTTTGACCCTCATTACGGCACATATGCTCCATTCTCTCGTTGTGTGTACATTTCAAGAACAGCTTTGTGTTGAAGAAACCAAGAAAAAAAGGGGTTACAGTAATTTTATGTCTTGCAGGCCATAAAAAGTCTTAGACTTGTGTATCTATGGCTACGTTAACACAATTCTGATGTTTTATTTATTTTTTGGTGTGGTTGTTCACATTTCTCAAGATATTCGACTTCTGCAAATGACCTAAAAGAGTCCCTCATGCGCAGTAGAGGGCGCAGTAGAGTCACAAAGAGCGTGCTTAGTGTTTTGCTAACCGCCATAAAAAAAAAAGAAGAAGAAGAAGAAGAAGAAGAAGAAGAAGAAGAAGAAGAAGAAGAAGAAGAAGAAGAAGAAGAAGGAGAGCTCAGTGTTTGGGGAAGTAAACATGGATGCTAACGGTGGAGCGTATCTTGTGTTTTTAAAGTTGTTTTCCATCCGGAGCCAGCAAATTAACAACTTAATCCTCATTATCACCCGCCAAGGTTGATATTTTTCTTCCCACTTGCGCGTAATAGGTCGCAGAATAATGACGTTTGTCGAGGATCAATGACGTTCAGGTCAGACGCATTCGAACTGGCCGTTCAGACACGATACATTTGAAAAGATCAGATACGAATCGGATTTCAGACCACATGTCAAAGTAGCCTGGGTCACATTCGAAAAAGTCCGATCTGGGTTATTCAGACTGTCATGAAAAGATCACGTACAGGTTGCAATATGCCGAAAAGAAAAAAAAGTTTACAAAACAGCCAGGGAAATTAGAGGTTTAGAATTTATATAGGAAAAATAATTTAGAGGAAACTAAGTGAGCAAGACGTCTTGAAAGTCAGCAAAATCATTAAAGCTAAGCTAAAGATTAGCTCTGTTTCTATAGCATTAGCAGATGAGCAGAAGCTAATTCCAACTGAAAACAAATGCACTTATAAAATCATCTTTTCTGCTTTTATTTGTAAAGATGTTATCCATGTATCCTTTTTTCCTCACTGCTTCTGCAAAGTACATGCCTCACTCCTTTGTGTTCTTCGATCACATGAAAAGCAAATAAAACCCACTGAAGGTTGTGACTTTAATATGACAAAATGTATCACTGCACACTGTCTCTTGTGGCTCACTGGTCTCCTTGACACGAGTCTCTTCTGACCCTGTTTCCCAAGGCATTTACAGAGACATTTACTGCTTCAATGCGCTGAAATTTATCAGTGTTTCTCCAGACATGTCCTGTTAAGGTGAAGTTTGTCATTTGGATTCAGAAATGTTGCATTAAAAACAGCATTAATTTGGATCTGTTCTCTGTTTTTCCTCTTTCTGCAGCCTTGTTCATCTTTTTTCTGATCTCAGCACAGAAAGCATAACTTTAGAGAGACTGGGATTTCAAAGGGATGTTCAAAGTGAGACCCCGGGGCCATTTGTCTAATTTCTGAGATTGATCTAAAAATGTCTGTCTCTAGCAAATTTCTGACTATTCAACCACAAAATAAGTCTTAGACTTGCTAGAGAAATTTGCTTGTTTTCCTCATGAATCTCAAAATTTTAGAGATTTTTTGCAGCAAATTTTCAGCTTTTTAAACTCAAAAATTTTCGCGTTTCTTTATTTATATTTTTTATAAACATTTTCTGAGATTAATCTAAAAACATTCTGAGTTTTATCTAGCAAATTTTTGACTTTTCAAACTCAGAAACTAGTTTGTTTTCCATGAAAATTTCTGAGATTAATCTGAACATTTCTGAGTTTTTTTTTTTTTTTAATTTTGGAGCTCAGAAATTTCCACGTTTTTTTTTTTCTAGAAAATTTCTGAGATTAATCTCAATATTTCTTAGTTTTTTAAAGCAAATCTTCACATTTATATCTCAGAAATTTCTGGGGGGGGAAGGGGTTCTAGAAAATCTTTCTTTGAAAATGTATGACATTTATCTGAAGATGTCTGTGTTTTGTTGCAAAATTTTGACTTTTGCAGATCATAAAGTTCCAAGTTTTTTCTGGAAAATTTCTGTGATTTACCAGAATTTGCTTGAAAAAAAAAAAACTGAAATTTTGAGATTAAGGAAAAGATGTTTGACTTTTAAAACTTTTGAGCCTGTAAATCTAACCATGATGGCATGTGAATTTTCCTCTGATGCTCAGGTACGTCCACGCCTTGTACTTGGGGGTGCAGAGCCGTTGGCATGGCGACCCGGAGCGGCGCCACTACTACTGGCGGATGATGTTTGAGAGCGCGGACATCAGCATGCTGCGTCTGCTGGAGTCCTTCCTGAAGAGCGCTCCTCAGCTGGTGCTGCAACTTAGCATCATGATCCACACCAGTCAGGTTCTACCTCTTCAGGGTGAGCGATGACCCAACACCACAGACACCATTAGCAAGCACTTTGATGGATTTGAAGGCAAAGACGATCACAGACTTCAGACCACAGCCTTCATAGTGTTTCACTGTGATTTTATGTGTTAATTAGACCACGAGTTCTCAAACCATCTACCCAAAAGAGCTTTAACCTCTGACCCCCTTTGCAAATCCAAAGACAAAACAACTACATATGTAAAGGAACATCAACTTTTGGAATGTCTTTCATCCACTATTTCATAAATATAACATTCATTTAGCATAATTGCTGCTTCAATCACACCACATTAAAACATTTCTGAGATTAAGCTCAAAGTTTCAGAGTTTTTTTCCTGTAAATTTTCCACTTTTGGAGTTCAGAAATTTCCTTGTTTTATATTATTATTCTCTGAGTTTTCTCTTGCAAATCTTAGACTTTTCAAACTAAGAAATGTTCTTGTTTTTCTAGCAAATTTGAGAAATTCTAGATTTCTCTAACAAATTTTCAATTTTTCAACTCAGAAATGTCCAAGTTTTTAGTAGAAAATTGTTAAGATTAATCTTCAAATTTCTGATTTTTTTTCAAGCAATTTCTGATTCTGAATTATCTAAGAAAGTTTCTGGACAAAATATTGTGAGATTTTTTTTCCCCAAAAGTCATTTCTGAGTTTCACTTTTCAATCTCAGAAATGTCTAATTATTTTTCTAGAAAAATTCTTGAATTAATCGGAATCAGAATTTGCTTTGAAAAAAATCAGATATTTTTTGATTAATCTTAGAAATTTTCAAGAAAAAACCTTTCCAAGAATGTTTTTTTTTCAAAAGTAAATTTTTTTTTACACTTTTGAATCTCAGAAATTTCAGAAAGTTTTTTCTAGAACATTTCTGAGATTAATCGAAAAATTTCAGATTTTTTTCTTTGGCAGTAAATTACTCCTCTTTATTTCTATCTAGTTGTCCTTAATACCACCCTGTTCTTGTTCCGTCTCTGCAGGGATTTCTGCCTCCGCCTCGCTGCTGTCCCTCGCCTGGATGATCTCGTCCTACCAGAAAGTCCTGAGGGACTCGAGAGACGACAAGCTCCCCATGACCTACAAGGCCGTGATGGTCCAGATCCTGTGGCACCTGTTCACCATCGGTGCCCGGGCGCTGGCCTTCGCCCTCTTCGCCTCCGTGTTCCAGCTTTACTTTGGCATCTTCATCGTGGCGCACTGGTGCATCATGACCTTCTGGATCATCCAAGGCGAGACGGACTTCTGCATGTCCAAGTGGGAGGAGATCATCTACAACATGATGGTGGGCATCGTGTATATTTTCTGCTGGTTCAGCGTCAGAGAGGGCCGCACGCGTTGCAGGTTGCTCATCTACAGCCTGACGGTGTTCGTGGAGAACGTGGCGCTCACCGCCGCCTGGTTCGTGTACCGCGGCGCGGCCGAGCGTCACGGCGGCCCGGACTTCTACGCCGTCGTCATGGTGTGCATTGTGGCCAGCAGCTACGCGCTTGGCACCTTCTTCATGTTTGTGTATTACTGCCTGCTGCACCCTGACGGCTCCATGTCCGGGTGGGGCTACATAGCGGAGAAGGAGGTTCCCGTGGAGGTGCTGGCGTCGCCGACCTCCAGCCTCCCGCCGGATCTAGTCGGCAGCCCGCCGAGGACCCTCCAGAGAACTAAAGGCTTGGACAGGGAGCCTGGGGTGGACGGAGACGTGTTTAAGGTGCGCCCTCCGCGGGGCGCCAAGCCCCCTGTGCCTCACCTCAAACCCAGGACAGAGGGCCCCGTCATCCGAATAGACCTACCGAGAAAGAAATACCCGGCATGGGACGCTCATTACATCGACCGACGGCTGCGAAAAACCATCCTGGTGCTGGAGAGCGCAGCCCCAGTGACGCCGAGGATTCAGTACCGCTGCCTGAGCACAGCCAAAGAAGTGATGGAGTACGAAACCACCGTGTGATGTGCCGGAGTTGCTGTGACTCAGCTGGACATCCCGCCTTAAAGTGAAGATGGCAGGAGGAACTGCTGTCAATCCACAGTCTGTTTCAGCGCCGCGATCTCCGATTGCTCTCTGTGCTGAAGAAAAGAGAGGTGGAGGAATGCGTCTTTATGTTCTGCTAGAAAAAACAGAAAGGTTTAAAAGAAATTATGTTGTGTATAGGGCTGGGCGATAAATCTGTTTAGTCAATTTTTGAATATTTAATTTGTAGAAAATTAAGATTTTTTTCCACTTCTTGGGTGATATCAGCATGCCCAAGTCCGCCATTTTGTTTCTTGTTTTATTTGGATTTTGGAATTAGGTCAACTCTTCTATATAGAATTAAGACCAAATTTATTTTTTAATTACTAGAATAAAGTCGTGTTTTTCAAACACAACAAAACAACAACAAAAATTAAAATGAGAAATGCTGAGCATCAAATTAAAAATTTAAAAGCAGCAGGACTTTTAAATAGGGATGCAAACAGTTACACGACTTATAATTAACTGCCGATTAATTGTTTCAGATGATTAATAAAGTAAACCTTCTGGTGTTGTAGTTTGGCCTCCATCCAGCAGAGGCGCTACTAGTCATCCTTAAGCGGTGCCCTTGATCCAGAAACAAAGATGGCGGAATAGCATAACAGCGATCCGAACACAGTCCGATGTGATGCAAAATTAATTTAATGCGGTTTTGTTTTGAAATATAAACACTCGACAAGCTTTTTAAGTTTTCCCTAAATAAATTTTGTTTAGTCTACTTGTTTTTTTTTTATCATTAAGAAGACTTGTTTTAAGATGTTTTTTTCTGCTAAAATTGTATCTGTAGCTAACGTTGATTATATTCTCGTAATTAAACAAAAATTTTCATACCCTAATACTCCGTGGTAATCTTAAGGGATGATTAAAAAAACATTTTCTATCATTTGTAATTTCTCTTTTAGAAAAGAAAGCGAGAAAAGAACTAATCGGAAGTCGGATTTGACATGAAAAGATCAGAGATTTCATTTTTTAAGTCATATCGCCCAGCCCTAGTCGTGTACAGAAGGTGCATACTTTGGTTTCTGTATCAGTTCTCAGGTCATGATGTGGCACAAAGAGGTGAGGAAAAAGCACAGGCAGGCAGAGAAATGTTAGTTCCTCCGCCGTGAGGGAAGCACCAACCTCTGCAGGGGGTCGACGGCAGAGACAGCCCTTCAAGCACGCAGGATTATTTATGGCAGCTACACACGGCTGAGCGAGTACATGAGGCTGATCAAAATTTAATCCTGCAAACAACCCACAAGAACCACAGCACAGGTAGTTTTCTTGGTTATTGTCATTTTTCAGTAGCTTAGAGTCACGTTGCAAGGGAAAAGTGGAGTGTAAAAGCAACAATTTGGGCTGAATGTAAAAACTGGACAGTGTGAATATTTATTACAAGGCTTTTTACGCATTTTCATGCTGTTGGTAGGATTTTCAACATTCCTGTGTTTTTTTTTTTTTTTTTAGTTAAAATTGAAAGAAAATTTGTTTACAAGCGGGCTGTTATCTTGTTCATTTCTCTTTTAAAAATGAAAATGCACTGAAAAACAAATTTGTTGTGATTTTTATAATTTTTACAGGGCATAAATGTGGTGGACTTTAAATGTCCAAATAAAAGCCCATCCTAAGCAGCAAAAGCTACATGACATATATTATTTAACATGTAAATTATTGTATAATGAAGAGGAAGTTTTAGGGACACCAGTGTTTGTTATTGTTACTGTACTGATACTTTCTTAAAGGAACTATCTTAAAAAATGTAGAAAAAAAACAAACAGTTCCCAATCTTGAAATCCAAGCATCAAAGCTATGATAGTAGTGATGGTAAAAACACAAGATTCAGTTTTACTTTGAATACTTTGCAGCAGATTTCCTGGCATTTCAGAATTCTCAGTAATTTTAAACCCATTTTAAAAATATGAATACTAGACAGTCAGAAAAAAATGGAACCTACGACAACCAGAGATGGATGGATGGATGAACAGATGGTTGGATGGATGAGCAGATGGATGGTTGGATAGATGAGCAGATGGATAGTTGGATGAGCAGATGGATGGATGGTTGGATGAACAGATGGATGGATGGATGAGCAGATGGATGGTTGGATGAACAGATGGATGGTTGGATGAACAGATGGATGGATGGATGAGCAGATGGATGGTTGGATGGATGAGCAGATGGATAGTTGGATGAACAGATGGATGGATGGATGAGCAGATGGATGGTTGGATGAACAGATGGATGGTTGGATGAACAGATGGATGGATGGATGAGCAGATGGATGGTTGGATGAACAGATGGATGGTTGGATGAACAGATGGATGGATGGATGAGCAGATGGAT